ACCACGGGGAGTGCGAGTACTCCTGCTTCGCGCCGCCCGGCCACAAAGGCCCCGGCGTCGGGCGGGAGAGGGTCTGCGCCGGCGGCTCGTGGCGTGCGTGCGGGATGGCGCCTGATCCGTCTCCCGTCGTGCCGTTTCGGCACGCCTGGGACTACTGGAACTGGAACATCGCGTCTCGCTTTGGCAACTCCGGCGGCGGCGAGTGGTACAGCCTGACGGCGGCGGACGAGGGCCTTCACTGGCGCAACGCCAGCGTCGTCAAGGCAATCGACCAGGCATGCCAGGCGAGGGCGTTTGACGGCCTCGTGGTGAGCAGAGGGGCGGCCTGCTTTGAGGCCTGCCCGCAGCCGGCCAACCGCTCGAGTGAGTGCTGGGTCGACTGCTTCTTCGAGACGCTGCTCGGCCCGGGCGCGGCCACCACGCTCAAGCCGCCCGGCGCACAGACCGGTGCGATGGACGTGGGCCACCTCGCCGACGCGTGGCTGAGCGGCCTGCGCCACGACGACCCGGCCAAGGGAGGCTGCCCTCCGTGCCCGTCGGACAGCCCGTGCCCGAGCGGCGGCGAGGACGGAGGCGGCGGCTGGGCGGGCGCGGCGCCGCGGCGAGCGGCGGCCGGGCCGGCGGCTGCTGAGTTTCTTCCGCCGCCGGGCGTGGCCACACAAACGGCACTACACTGAGAAGCTCCTTCCCGCGCCCCACGGGCGCGCGCGTACGTCTGAGTGTCCATCTGCATGGTACATCGCGTGCACAGCTCAGATACAGCTGAGAGCTGCAGGCGTAGTCGGGGAGTCCAACTCATGTATATGTTTCTATGTGCGTGAATAGCGCATACGGTTTATTATTTCTGATTCTGTGTGTTTTGGTTTTATTGGTCGCCTTCTCTGTTGATTTTGTGATTTGTGTTGTGCTCGGACAATCCAAACAAAAATCGTCGAGCCTTAAACCAGTCGCACCGTCCGCGCAATCCGCACGCGCGCGCCGCAGTCCTCCACCAGAAAAACGCGCCCCGCGTTGCCGGCTCGCGACCCTCCGGCCAAACCACAGGCCCAGCTCCCGGCGCCGTCCTCCTCCTGCCCGCCCTCGCCTCCCTCGCACGCCTCGCGGCCGACGCCCTCCTCGAGCAGCCGCTGGTGCGGCCGGAAGCCGGAGACCGCACCCGCCCCCCGTCCGGCGCGAGCAGGTGCCACACCGTCGTGCTGAGCATGTCCAAATAAATAGACATCTCCATGAGAGATGGCCGACGTACGAACATAAAACTCCCCGCCCCGCGGATTGCAGGTCTACGAGAATTTTTCCCACGGCGTTTATCTCGGGGCCGACGGCGTGCGGTCCAACCACGAGGCGCTCAGCTCGCACGAATGTGCATCGCTCTGACGCTCTTCGTGCTGATCGCACCGCCGCCAACAGCGCCGAGTCCACCTCCCTGGTGGACCATCGAGCCGCCCCCTCCCGATCCCGCCCCGCCGCCGCCGCCGCCTCCTCCGCCTCCTCCGCCGCCGCCGCTGGACCCGCCGGGCTTTCCGCCATTTCCGCCAGGACTCGAGCCCGTGCACCTCGCAGCCACCGCGATCGTGCTCCTTGCCTTTGCGGGAAGCCTTGCCCTCTGCGCGCTCTGCGGTTTCTACCACGAGCGGCTGTGCGTGTGCTGCACCGCTGCAAGCGAGCGGCTGCGCGTGTGCTGCACCGCTGCAAGCGAGCGGCTGCGAGCGTGCTGCTCCGCTGCAAGCGAGCGGCTGCGAGCGTGCTGCTCCGCTGCAAGCGAGCGGCTGCGAGCGTGCTGCTCCGCCGTGCGCGCCCGGCTCGCGCCGGCCGCGGGCAGGCGTACCGCTCCACTGGTCAGGACGCTGGCCATCTCGCCGGAGAAGCGGCACGTGCCCTTCACCGACGAGAAGGGGAGCTTCAGCGACAGCTCCACGGCCGGCAGCAGAAGGCCCTCCACGGCGCCGGCCGGGACTCGGCAGCCTGTCCCCAGAGACAGGCCGCGGCCGGGCAGGCCGAGCGTGCCGTCCGTCAAGGCGCTCGCCAGCCTCGGGGGAAGTTTGCGAGAGCTCTCCTTCGGCGAGTTCTCGCGGCGCTCCGTCAAGGAGCGCTCGTTCGAGGTGTCCTTTGGCGAGGGACACGCCTGCTCGAGGGAGCCGTCTGGCTCGCAGTCCAAGCGAGCCTCAAAGGTCCCGTCCTTCGACCACGAGGTGTCTTTTGGGGGCTCGAGGGCCTCTGGCTCGAGGGAGCCGTCCAAGCGAGCCTTCGAGATGGGGGAGGCTTCGCGCACCCAGGCTTCGTGCCGCACCCTCTCCTCGGACACCCTCTCCGAAAGCTCGCGCGCCTCCGCGCACAGGGGCGAGGCAGCGCACCCCCCTGAAGCCTCGTCACCCGAGATTCTCTCGGGTGGGCTGGTGCGAAGGATGCTGCGAGACATGGAGCGGCGAGAGCAGCAGGAGCAATCGTCTATCTCCCCCTCGAGCACTCCCCGTCCGGGGACGGTGCGAAGGATGCTGCCCCCCGCGCGGGGGCAAGACATGGAGCGGCAAGATCGGCAGGAGCAGCAGGCGTCGAACGATGACGATGGCGGCGCGCCGGCGGCCCGCTGGCTCACCGGGTTGAACACGCCGAGAGGCAGAGCAGCTGCCGGGTGGCCCGTTGATCTGTAAGTACTCAACTCGGCACGTGCTACCCCCCCTGCCCTCTCCGGGCTTAGATGTGCGCGATATTCATATTGTCTTGGGGTTGGGCTGGTGCTGGTGGGCTCTGTCGGGGGACGGGGCAGGGATCCATGAACGCATTGTTGGGTCGTTGCAGTGCTCAAATATTTACCGCCATACCGGCATGGCGCATGGGAGTTTTTTATTGGCTAATCTGTAATCAAACCCTAAAGAGCCGTAGGCCTGCACTAATCTTGTAGACGAATCAAAAAGTTGGTAGCTGCAAGCTGGTACGGGAATCGGGATACCACTTGCCTCGCGGAAATCATAGCGAGTCGGAGTGCCTTTTTGGTTTTTGTTTGTGGTGTGGCAAAATCGGACTTAGAGGGTCAACAGCGATCAGCGTCCTAATCTAAATACTAAAAATCTGGGATTCAGGATTGAGGCATCGCTTCAGTGAGGCTAAGTGAGTTTATGGATGTGTGAGAACGGCGGTACGGAACACGAGGAGTCACGCGGACCGACTCGTCGGTGACTATGCTGCACGCCGTTTCAGAATTTTTCTCAGCGTGAGCGAGACGTGGAAGAGTGCCACCGTCGGGTAGGACGGGTCGTCCCGGAGCATCAGAGTGGCCGTCGTGGTCGCGGCGAGCAGCCGCCGGCCACTCCGGCGCCGCGTCGGCAACATGGGAGCATGTCCACCGCCACTTCGTGGTCACAGCGCTGTTTTGTCGCCAAACGCCGCCATGTACCTTTTCGGGCAAACCATCGAGCTGCATGTCGGTTTTTACTTGACGGGCGCATGGAGGCATCACATCTCCATGCGCCCGTCAAGTCGGAGCCAGTCAGCGGCGACCACAGCGCTCAGAAAGGTACATGGCGAGCTTTTCAGAGTCAAGCGATTGCGCGAAATCCCACACTGGTGGATTTTGGGGCGCTGTCTACCCCCTATCGGTGTAAATTTAATCGGCAAAATACCTGGAGACCGGTACTGTATTTTGCGCATTGCGGGTATACCTGGAAAACCCCTGGGTATACCCGGTAATAGCTAATACCCGCACTTTTGCATGGTTTCGCCCCCGGGCACACAGCCGCTACACGAATCAAAAACCCCGCATACCACTTTCGCATACCATACCACTCAAAAACTAATCAAAAGATCACCAAATGCCGGTCTCATACCGGTAAATATTGAGCACTGTGTCCCAGTCCCACGGCCACGCGCGACTCGCGAGTGTCGTGTGTCGCGAGCACGCGTCAGCCGCACCACGTCGCACGTGTCTCGTGTGTTCTGTGTGGTCTAGAGCCGTATGCACACTCTGACAGCTCAGCACCTTTTCATAACAGGAAACAGCGCATGGACGGGCCGAGCGACCTTTCACAGTCACAGCTCACTGTGTGTACTCACAGCGTCTGAACCCCATGTGGGATCACAAAAGCCGGTCGAAAGGTTCGGCCGATTTGATTTGGTCAAAACGCTAAAAGCACTGTGGCAAAACGACAAAAGTGGGCCCGCCCGGGGCAAAATGGTAAAAAATCGCGCGCCGCAGGCGCGCGCGATTCGCCGTAATTTTTTTGGACATTCTGCTCTCCGTCGCGCCGCGGCGCTCTCCAAATACTCGCTCACTATGCGGCGCAGCCACGCCTTGTTGCCCGAGAGGGACTCGCCACGCTCGCCCAGCTCCTCCTTGAGCTTTACCACCTTCATCGCCACCAGATCCTTTTGGACCTTTCGCATCGCTGCCGCTGCAAAGAGCTCCGGGCTCACAGCCTCGTGCTCAGCAGCGCCCGCCCGCCCGCGGCCACGTTGGCCTGGGCTGAGTGTACATCACCGTTGCCCAGCCAGGCGCGAAAGTGCGTTGTGGGGGGACTGAGGCATCCTTACACACGTTGCAGCATGTGCATGTTTGGACACACACCGCGGGGGCGCTTTCGTCTTGTTCGAGGCGAGCGGCAGCATTTTTCTAGCCGTAGTGTGCGGGAACTACTTTGCGGGAAGACAGCTACTACTACTGCACCGCCGGCGCGCAGCCAAAGAGAATTGTGACAAATGCTAAAATTGCTGGGCGGGGCGCTCCGAGACACCAAAGTGGTAAAAGTGTCGCACTCTCCCTTGACCCGATCAGTAGCTGCTCGCTCGCGACGCGGCGATCGCACACACGAAGCGTTTTGGAAGGCACAGCGACCGCCCGCTGCGCTCTTCTCGTTTGGATTGTCGCTTTTGTGCGCGCGGGGCACACCCTCGATGACGAACGCCGGGCTTCCACTTGAGGGCAGGCGAGAACCATACCTTTGCCGTTCATGTTCCAGAAGGTGCCCGCTCTCGTGCCCATGATCAGAGCTCTTTCACGTCCACGACCGAGAAGATTGGCACTGCGGCCGGGTGCTCCGACGGCAGTGCCGGCAGCTTTGTGCGGAACTCGAGGTAGGTGCCGCGCTCGCGCAGGGCGACCGGTGGCGAAAAGTAGACGTCGCGCGACGCCACCTCTGCCACGAGTGCATCGAGTCGAGAGCGAGTCGGGACCGCGCCAAGCTCCTCGGTGAGCGTGACCCGCTCCACAAACACGGATCCAGCCAAGGCCACCGAGGTCACCCGGAGGCAGAGCTCAATGTAGGGCGCGCTTGGCGCGTGAGGATGTGAGGCAGGCCCCGGCATCGCCTCGCCCTCGGTCGGATCGTCCGCCGTCAAGCCCGCGCAGTAGGCGGCCTCGATTGAGGCGTGCAGACGGCCGCTCGACTGCGCGATAGCCCAGCGAGGCTCGTCGAGGGATGGCGGGCCTTGGTCCGACTCGCAGCACTGAAGGTGCTGCTCCAACTCTCCGAGGGCCTTGCGGCGCTGATGAACCCGGCGCACCGGCACGTAGGCTCGACGCACCTCTTCCAGGTCGGAGAGCGAGCCGAAGCAGGCCTCGGGGATCTCTTGCAGCTGCTCTGCGAGGGCGCGCAGCGAGTGGCGCCCACGCACAGCCTCGAGCCAGTGCGGCGACGCGCCGAGGCTGGTGACTTGATCTGCCGGCGTGCACCGAAGAAGGCCAGGCGAGGGCTGCGGAGACATGCAAGCTTGGCGATGGTGGCGCTCGAGCAGGGCGAGCGTGGTGCGTGTCATGTGGAGCAGCGACGTGGCCGACGGAAGGACCGCATCCGGCTTGGTGCAGTGCTCGCCCCAGTCTTGTAGCTGCGCCGCCTACCAGGCTCACGCACGCGACTGCCGTGCTGCGGGCGGCGGGGAACTACGGTGGCGGAAGTGGCGCGTGTGCGGGCACACCGAGAAGGGTGGGCCGTTCTGGTCTCGTGTGTCGGGCACCATCTGGCGGGCGGCTTCGAGAGCGGCAGTACTGACCCTCCACGCAGCATCAAAGTCGGCGCGCTCGGCGGAGATGTCGACGGTGCGCCGAGCTTGGACCGTCTGGGGCGAGGCGGGCTCGGCAGCGCTGCGCAGCGGGGAGCCATTTCCTCCGTTGTGGCTTTCGTCGCCAGTGAAGTTGAGACGTGTCGGCTCCAGCATCGAGAGCGGGGAGCGGGGGACTGGACCCAGGACTCGGTCGCGACGCCGTCGTAAATTGAAAAACAAGAATTCAAACAGCCTCTCACAGAGTGTGTGTGTGTGTCTCACAGACACAGGTTCGACACAGGTACCAAAAGGAGCACAGCAGACGGCAACCCCTTAGGCGCCGTCGAAGAGACCGGCCCACCTGGCCGGTCGCTCTTCCCCCCTCCCCTCGAAAGCGCGCTCAATCGCTCGCTCGTCGCACTCCACCCCCCGAGCCCACCTTGCCGCGCTGCGGGCCTCCCGCCGCCGGCCATCGCGGGACCGCCGCCCGCCGCCACCCCCCCCACCCCCCCGCGCCGCCCGCGCTGCCGCCGCCTCCGCGCGCTCTTCCGCCAGCAACCGCTCCCTCCGCGAAGAAGAAGAAACGTCCGAAAAGTGAGGTTGATGACTGCACTCCAAGATAGTGCTCCAAGTGCGAACGGGGTGCACGACTGCACGACGCGCAGACACCTGGGATCGACGGTCGGAGCTACGAAGAGCAAGGAAAGTCAAGAGAGAGGGAGGTGCTTACGAGAAGCTGCCGCAAAGCCGAGCGTGGCGCGTGTGGGAGCTGGGACACGTCGCACGCCGCGCGGAGATGCCGAACGCGACCGTGCAAAACGAGCAAAAACCGCGTTTCAAACTCGGTGTCACACGACGCGCTCTCCATTTAGAGCATTCTCCTTAAAAATAAACAGCTGGCATGTTGTAGCTCAGGCGTCTCTCTGTCTCTCTCTCTCGCTCTCTCTCTGTCTGATCCTCGAGCTGAAACGCGGTGCACCACTTCTATCTCGAATGTTTGCTGCTCTGCTGCGCCTGCGGCGGCCCCGCCTGCGCATGCCCCCGCCCGTGTGACAGCGTCAGGCCGCCAAACACGTCTCCCAGAATGTCACCGACGTCGGTGAGCGCGTCCTCGACGGTGCTGGCGACGGTGCTGGCGGCGGTGGAGAGGGTGCTGTTGAGCGTGCCCACCGTCGTGTCTAGCGTCTCGCCAACCGTCTGACCCGCCTCGCCGAGCTCAGTGACGGTCGTGCCGAGCGAGCTGCTCACCTGCGGGGTGTGGACTCGGGCGTGTCATGGACGTGGCGTGTGGCGTGGCGGCGAGGACGCAGAAGACCCCGTTTCCCCTCCCCGCCTCCCAGAGAGCTTCGTCTACTTCCTCTCGGCTCGACCTCGGCTCGACCTCGGCTCGACCTCGGCTGGAATCTCGGCTGGTTCTAGGCTGGATCTCACCTGGCCGCCGGCCAGCTTGTCAACGAGCTGCATCGCCGCCGCCGAGCCGGCGAGGCCCTTGTTCTCGAGCGCCACCGTGATGAGCTCCTCGACGTACGGCAGCCGGACCCGGTCCGGTCCGAAGGTGAGGTCGAGCGCCGAGTACAGCCCGACCTCGATCTCGCCGTCCTTGAGCAAGTCCGCCATCATCCGGCTCAGCGTCGCGGCGGGCGCCTTGAGCAGGAGCGGGAACGCGCGCGAGCGGCGCGACTCGAAGGGGCCAAGCACGAGCGGGGGCGACACCTACACCCAAGTCCAGCCGAGGTGCAGCCGAAGTGCAGCCGAGGTGCAGCCGAGGTGCGGCCGAGGTGCAGCCGAGGTGCAGCCGAGGTGCAGCCGAGGTGCGGCCGAGGTGCGGCCGAGGTGCAGCCGAGGTGCAGCCGAAGTGCAGCCGAGGTGCAGCCGAGGTGCAGCCGAGGTGCAGCCGAGGTGCGGCCGAGGTGCAGCCGAGGTGCGGCCGAGGTGCGGCCGAGGTGCAGCCGAGGTGCGGCCGAGGTGCGGCCGAGGTGCAGCCGAGGTGCAGCCGAGGTGCAGCCGAGGTGCAGCCGAGGTGCGGCCGAGGTGCGGCCGAGGTGCAGCCGAGGTGCAGCCGAGGTGCAGCCGAGGTGCAGCCGAGGTGCAGCCGAGGTGCAGCCGAGGTGCAGCCGAGTGCGGCCGAGGTGTAGCCGAGGTGCAGCCGAGGTGTAGCCGAGACACGGTCGAGACACAGTCGAGATACAGTCGAGATGCAGCCGAGCGCGAGCGGGCGGGCGGGCGAGCGGGCGAGCGGGCGGGGGGGGGGGGGGGGTCCGCGGCACCTCGGGCACAGAGACTCGGCCGACGGCGGTGCCCAGGTACGTCACGTTGACCTCGACGGCGAGCACGGTGGTGGTGATGTTGAGCGGGTTGGAGAGCTGGCCGATGTACACCGTCTCCTCGAGCTCGGCCAGTGGAGTTGGGTCCTTCTCGATCAGCCCGTGAGAGTGGTCGCCGACGTAGCCGTGTGCGTGGTCTCCCGCCTGCGTCAGCAAGAGAGGTCGGTCGGTCGGGTACTGCAGCCGTGCCGAGTGCTCAGCACGTCGCGGGAGAGCATGGACATGGGCTACGCACACAGCGGAACGCAGCGGAACGCAGCGGAACGCAGCGGAACGCAGCGGAATGAACACAGCTGTGAGTCGGGATACACGGGGGTCTGTACTCCTCTCCATCTCGAGATATGGGGGAGATATGCGGAGACACGAGCAGAGATACGAGGAGATACGGGGGAGATCTGGGGGAGATCGGGCATCTAGTTCCGCCCACAAGCCCCGCCAGGGAGTGGATCGCCGCCGCGTTGACGTCGACGTGCATACCGACGTCTCGGAAGAAGTGGAGCAAGCGGCCCGGCAGCTTCGCGTCGAGGGCGACGCCTTGCAAGGCGACGCTGTAGAGCGGCACGCCGCCTGGCGCCACAAGCGCGGACAGAACGTCTCTCGAGGAGCGGCGAGGCAGTGGGCAGTGCGCGCGCATGGCGGCGTCGGGTGTGTGGCTGGCGATGTCGGCGAGGAAGTTGCCGGTGAGAGGGCTGCGTTGTAGATCCGAGGCCAATCTCGAGTCACCTCGAGTCACCTCGGGCGATCTCGGGCGATCTCGGGCGATCTAGGGCGATCTCGGGCGATCTCGGGCGGTCTCTCGCGCCGATGGAGGTGAAGACGGCGTGCACGTCGCTGGTTCGCCCCGCGGCGTAGTCCGCCGAGAGGCGCTCGAACTCGTGCACGTCCTCCGGCGGAGAGAGGATCGGGCCACGGAGTGTGTACGAGAGGGCGCCCTGCCGCATGCTCACGAGCCCGTCGGTGGCCACCGCGGCGAACTGCGACCCCGCCGCGGTCTGGACGGCGAAGGCGATCTCGCCGAGCGGAGTCAGCTCGAAGGAGGATGGGTTCTGCGCCTCCACCTCAGCCTCGAGCGTCACCTCGCTCCCGGGGTACGACTCGCTCAGGTGCAGCGCGGTCGTGCGCGCGGCCAGCCCTCCCATCCCGCGCAGCCGGAACTGCTTTGCCAGCGTGATGCCCTCGAAGAGAAGGCCTGGCCACGCGCGGACAGTCACGCTGCCGGCCACGGAGAGGGAGAGCTCCGGCGCGGTGATGATCCGCGCCGAGAGCTCGTGCAGGGCAGTGAGGTTCGCAACCTCGAGTGCGCCGCGCAGATGAAGCGGAACGCGGCCCCCAAAGCCGACGGCGAGCGGGCTGAGCGCTTGGAAGCTGCCGACGGGCGCAGCTCCGCCGGAGGCGTGTGCGACGGAGAGGTCCATCCGCTCGACGGTGCACGCCACCGGGAGGAGCCAGAGCCGCAGCTCGCCCGTCGTCTGGATCGCAACGGTCAGGTCGCTCCTCGAGATAGACACGTCCAGGGGGCCTGCTGAGCCAGGGTCGCCCGAGCCAAAGTCGCCGATGTCGCTCTCCGACGGCGCGACGTGCAGCGCAGTGACGGTGAGCACAGACCTGTCGACGAGGAACTGGACCGCCGCGCTGGCCACCGTGGGCCCAGCAAATGCTGTGAACAGCAGCAGAACGAGGGCAACAGGCAGCAAACGCAGAGCGAGCGGACAGCGCCTCGACTGTGCCGGCACCTCGTCAAGCGCACGCGCGGTCCCAGCGTCGTCGCCACCAGTGGAGCTGCTGCACGGGCACAGTGCGTTGGTAAGCTTGGCGGCGCTAGTTCGAGCGCTAGGCTCGACGTCGATCATCGGGCGCAAAAGGGGCGGAGACGACGGAGGCGGCGGCGAGGCGGTGTGTGCGCCGGGCCAAGGTGGAGCCGAAAACTTTTTTCTCTTTTTTTCTGTTGATTTTTTCTTCTGCGTTAGCGTTGGTTGATGCACCCACTCTCGGATAGCCGCACAACACTGGGCACGGGACTGGCTCGCACTGGCACTAACACAGGTACACCACGGGAGCCGCCTAAGCGACTCCTGCGAGGGTGGCGAGTCACTTAGCTCCGTGCACCCGCCCACCCCCGCCACAGGCAAGCTCATTCACAACCTGCTCTGCGATTGCCGTGTGAAGAACGACTGAGATACGCTGCTTCTGCAGCCCCAGCCAATTCTTAGTGGTCCAAGTCACCTCATCGAGGTACTGGGCCCGCGTCAGCTTGTTCTGTAGCACGTCCGCCGCCTTCCGGAGGATCTCACGGACCCCCTTTCCGAACCCGCCGAACGATTCGAACAGCAGCAGCTGCACGTCGACGTCCTTGTCTTCCCTGGCGTAGCGCGATAGTCCCCGCCGTAGGACGGTATGCGGCGGTCGCCGCCCACCACCCTGCCCCCCCTGGTATGCCAGCGCCCGGTCCCTTGCCCTCTCTCGCCCTTGCTCTTCCTCTCCCCCTCCATGCCGCCGCCCCCGTACCCCTCCCCCTCCATGCCGCCCCCCCCGGTACCCCTCCCCCTCCCCCCCCCCCTCCTCCTCTCCCCCCCCCTCTCCCTCCCCCCCCCTCCCCCCCTCCCCCTCCTCGCAGTAGGGCCCATGCCCCATGACCATGTTCCGGTAGAATGATGTGTTGTGCGAAAAAAGAAAAAGGTGCGAGAGCAGAGTCATTGAGCCTCTCCCATCCCTCCCTTGGGTTCCGTTTTCTTTCTTTCTTTTGAGCCTTACCCAGCCGGGCAGTTGGTTTGGCCTTGGCATCAGCCGGGCATGTTGTTGATTTGGCCTTGGCATCACGATCAGCCCTGGGCCTGGCAGGCGGGCACGCGCGGGAAATGCACACAAGCGCCAAAGCCGGGCAACTAGGTCATTGAGGCCCCCCCCCGGGGAAGAGACCGAACGGCCGGCCGACACTCTCGGCCATACATTCCAACGGCCAGGCCGCTCGCTTAAGGCTGATTTTCTAGACGAGCGGCCTACCTCCTACCTCCATGGGGCTGTTGGCACGGGGGGAGGTGTCAATCACGCTCCCGGGACGCCGGAGAGATCGGGTTGGTCTCCCCCGCCTTCAGCCCTGACCCGACGGGGACGCCATCACCCTCGCCCAGGGGATCTACAACGCTGTCTCAAGGTCCGACAGGTTCGGCACCGGGCACCGCCTCGGTATACAAAATGCGCCTGCGGGCGGACCCTCACAGATCACAGATCACAAGCGCCAAAGGGGCGCAGCACCGACCTAACCCGTCGGAGGTGGGGGGAAGGGAGTCCCGCCGGGTTCCCCTGCGTGAGCGCGAGAGTAACCCCAAGAGGGCTGAATATGAGCGGTGTGCGCAGGGGTCGCGTGGAGGGCGAGGAACGCGCCGCGCGGGGCGCCGCCTCACCGGCCCTCGCCAACGCCTCAAAAGTGGCGCAGAGTGAGGCGGCGAGAACCGAGCGAGCACGTGAGCCCCGTCGCTCCAGAGGGGCCGCACACTGCTGGGTACCCCCCCTGCACACTTAAGCCCATGGCGGACCCCCCCCCCAGCAGAAGCGTTCTGCTGCTGGGGGGGTCGGGACCCCCCCCCCCAGCAGCAGCGCTCTGCTGCTGGGGGGGTCAGACCCCCCCCCCCTAGCAGCAGGGACGGGCTTAGAAGTGCAGGGGGGGTACCGAGCAATGTGCGGCCGCTCCCAACCGGGCCCTTCCTATTTTGAGCAGGTGTGCCGCCGCGCGAGCGACGCTCCGAGATCGCCCGAGATAGCGCGGCGCGGCGGTGGGTGGGGTGGGGTGGGGTGGAGGGGGGAGCGGCGTGGCGTGGAGCCCCGAGATAGCGCGAGATCGCCCGAGATCACGTGGCGCGGCCCGAGATCGCCCGCGAGGTGGATGGGTTGGGAGCGAGGGGGCGGAAGTGTTCAGTGCGGTAGACGGTGAGCTCGGGGCGCGTGAGCCGGTCTTGAGTTGTGGGCCGGACCACCCCCCGTCCTTTCTCTGCGTTCTCGCACATGGAGTGCGAGGTTCTGCTATCTCGTCTGTCGCCGTCCCAATCTGTCACTCCCCTTTCTCCCGGCCGGGGTGGGGCGCGCGCGAAGACCGAAGTGCGCGCGGGGGCGGCGGGTGTGCGGGATGTCTGTGGGCCCGAGAGCGATATGCCATGTCCGCCATGCGTTTGTTTCATAACTCGAAGGCTAAGCTCAAAAGAAAAAGCGGTCCGTATTGTCGTGTTTACACTAAGATCGACAAGAGATCAGACGGCAGTCTTGTGTACTCTCACCACCTGTGGCCACACGGACCGTGTGGCCCCACGTACGAGTGGCTCGCCCTCGCAAGAGCCCGAACTCTCTCTCCCCCTCTCTCAAGAAAAGACGAGCATTGTGAGCACGATCAGCACGGCCGTCAGGACGAGGATGGCGCAGAACTTGCCGCGGTCGCTCGACTTGAGCATCTTCTGCATCGTCGCCATCGCGCCGCCCATCTGCGCGCCCGCCTCGTCCACCTCGTGGTCGAGGTCGTCGAGCATGGCGCCCTGCTGCCGCAGCTCGGTGTTGATGGTGCGGCCCATCTTGTCCAGCCGCGACACCGCCACCGAGAGGTTGCCGAGCTCGACGTCCTGCGCCTGCATCTCCTCTTGCTGCGTCATCATCTGCTGCTGCATCACCGCCTCCAGCGGCGCGTCGCGCCTCGCTGGCGCGCTGTAGGCGTGCGCGTCCGACGGCGCGCCCGCGCGCCCGTTGTCCGAGCGCAGCAGCTCCGCGCGCGAGCTGCCGCCCTTGCCCGCGCGCCTCGAGGGAGTGGACGACGAGGAGCGGTCGAGCTCCTCCCTCATCTCGCGGCAGGTTCGCAGCGAGTCCTGCAGGAATGCGTTGCGCGCGCGCGACTCGGCCGGCGTAGACGCGATCGAGATGGTCTCCTCCAGATCCTGAAGGTCCACCTCCACCTCGGAAAGCAGCTTCCTCACGGCGGCGGCGGCGGCGTCCTTGCCGGCAGGCGGAGCGTTGCGCCAGCGCACGACCAGGCCGCCACCAGAAGCGAGCTGCCGCTGCACCTCGGCCCGCACGATCTCGTAGGGGTCCGCCATCGTTCGGAAGGCGCCGGCGCGGGCGTGCAGTTTGGACACAGGAAATAAAAAGACCATTCGCGCACTGGCACTAACTCGTCCTCCCATCCCTCCCTTGGGTTGGCTGTTTTGTTTCTTTTCTTTTTGGCACTAACACGGTACACAAAGAAAGCCCCTTTCCCTGCGAACGCGCACCCCCCAGGGCTAGGGCTCTCTTGCCCGCAACCCGATCCCGATCATCGACAAGAACGCATATTATGTGCATTGTCCATTGAATCAAGCCCAGAAAACATTGCAGAAGTAAATCTCCTGCCGGTGTGTCAAGTTTCCCAGCTCAGGCGGTACGTCCCCGTGAGCTTCTCTGGAAGCACTTGAGCACTTGAGCACTGGATAGGGTCGGTTCCGCATGGTACGGGACCCCTAATGTCGCCCGCCTGTCCTTCCCCCTGTTCTCGTCTGGTAATCTCATCTTATTATCCCATCGATGCTTGAGGCTGGCTACTGCCACTTCGCTCCACAACCGTCCCGCCACCCCTGCCGTGTGCCACACCCCGCAAGAACTGGGCCTAGGAAAGCGATTTTCTTTTTCTTCGAAGTCCACCTCCGCCTGGGCCTCCCGCCCACAGCGAGCTGCTGCGGGCACCACCCCTGCACTGGTCAGACGCAGGGGCGGCAGCGGGCACTCGCTGCGCCGCTTCGAGCCGCAGAGGAGCGATCCGGAGGAGCACAGCCCGCCCGCCCTCGAAGGCGCCGTGAACCCCGCGGCTCGTGTTTAGCGGCAGCAGAGCCGCAGAGGCGGAGCGCGCCGCCGACACACTGCAAATGCTCTTCCTGAGCCTCGCCGCCGTCGGGAAGCTCGACGTGACTGGCCCGCACGGCGCCCGTCGTGCGGGCCCGCCCCTGGTCGTGCACGCCGAGGTTCAGGCCGCCATCGACGCCGGCGAGCCTGTGGTGGCGCTGGAGTCGACGATCATCACGCACGGGATGCCTTACCCGGACAACCTGCACACCGCCCGCGCGGTGGAGGAGGCCGTCCGCGAGGCCGGTGCGGTGCCCGCCACCGTCGCACTGCTCGATGGCGTCTGCCACGTCGGCCTAGCCACCGAGGAGCTGACGCGGCTCGCGCAGCTCGGGCGTGAGCGCGTCGCCAAGTGCTCGCGTCGCGACCTCGCGGCGGTGATGGCGCGGCGCGGGCACGGCGCGACGACGGTCTCGGCCACCATGCTGCTCGCGCACCTCGCCGGGGTCCCAGTCTTTGTGACGGGCGGCATTGGCGGCGTGCACCGCGGCGGCGAGGCATCGATGGACGTGAGCGCTGACCTGACTGAGCTGAGCCGGACGCCGGTCTGCGTGGTGTGCGCGGGGGTCAAGTCGATCCTCGACATCCCGCGCACGCTCGAGGTGCTCGAGACAAACGGCGTTGCCGTCGCAGCGCTCGGCGCGCGCCTCCCGAGCGCACGTCGGCGGGGCTTACGCCTGCCAGCTGCCCTCGCCACTGCGCCTCACCCTCTCTCTCGCCCCCCCCACCCCCTTTTTTTATTCTTCATTCTTCTTTTCCTTATCTTCTTTTTCTTTTTACTCCAATTTTTTTTATTTACACCTTATCTCCCTTGTTTCTACCTACCCTTTTCGATCTTCTGGTCTCTGGCTAATATTTGCTGGCTTTTCTTGATTCTGTTTCG